AATACAGTAATATATACAATGAAAGGACAGAAGGGAGAAGAATGAGCCACCCTCAAAAATTACCTGAGAGGAGGGGCTGGGGCTCTGGCTCAGTGGTAGAGTGCTTGCCTAGCATGCATGAGGTAATGGGTTCAATCCTCAGCACTACTAAAAATTAATTAATTAATTAAAGTTATGTCTATCTACAACTTAAAAAATATATATATTTTTTTTAAATTACCCTAGAGGAGATATTTAGATATTTGGAATGAGTCTAGAAAAATAAATAAAATCATGCTAGATGACATGGAAAAAGAGGCATTCCAGATGAAGGGAATGATGTGCAAAAATATTTGGATATGAGTAGATAAAAGCGTTGCTTGGTGTGCTGGAGAACAGAGTGTATGAAGGAGAGGACACGCTGCTGAATGAAGTTAGAATGAATATACTGAGCACATCTAATCCTGAATGTTTCACAGCATACTAAGGCATTTGGACTTTACCTGCAATGAGCACATTTTAATGAAGAGACAGATGTGATGAGGCACATAAGAGCACAAAAACGCAGGTGGCCAGGTGGAGGTGGAACAGGACTACAGATGCAGGTGGCAGGATCAGTTAAGCAGAGACAGCAATTTGTCAATTTCTGTTGACAAGGACGTAGACTACAGTAGGGATGATGGATTGAAACACTAGACCCAGAAACACTTAAGAATATTTTTTTGAAAACCCTCTATGGCGTTCTCACTATCACCCCTCCAACCCATGACATCTTGTTCATACTTCAGTGACTGGGATGTATTTGATAATGTATCAATTTCTATTTAGGAACTTTGATCTCTTTGAGGACAGAAAATGTCTTACCTTTCATGGATCCACAGCAGCAAACACAGTATCTGAAACTGATTATAAACTCCATACATTGTTATGGATGTTTACTGATCACTCAAAAAATGTTGAGAAATTGTACATGTGTAGTGCTTCTTTTTATGGATCAATTTGATGAGGTTAAGTACCCGGTTATTGAACTGAACATTGATCTAGTGTTGCTATGAAGGTATTATGTAGCTATAATATTTACAGTGAGCCAACTTTAAGTAAAGACTATCTCAGTAATGAAGTAGGCCTCATTCAATCAGTGAAAGATCATAAAGACCAAAATTGGTGTCGCTGATGAAAGAGATTCTGCCTGGGTCTGCAGCATCATCTCCCACCTAAGGCTTTCATCCTGCCCCCTGCCTGCAGATTCAGATTTGTCAACCATAAGCCTATTTCTTGAAAAGAATATATACATGTATATGGTTTATTTTCTTTTCTTTTGGCATGTGTGTTTATTTATCATTTGTTTTCATTGAAGGAGAGTTATTAGATAGAAATGGAACCACTGTTTTAAACTTACCTAAATGCCACTTCTCAACTTAAAGACCACAAGGAAAATGTCTAGTTTAAAAATAATGACTTCACTTCTAGATGTGTTGAATTTCAGATATATGGAAAAATCCAGCAGAGATATAAAGAGGCAGGTGAAATATGAGTCTTAAGTTTACAGGAAAATTATTATAGTCAAACTATATTATTCAACCTCAATAAATATAGCTTGTGGCTGCCTAAAAAGCACAAATAGCACACATTTATAGGGAAACTAAATTTTACACCCTGTACCTCATATGTATGAAAGAGATATCCAGCTGTAGTTATTGTCTGGTCATAGCTTACCTTCAAACTATTTCAGCCAATGTGGACAATTTTAGTAAAGGTAACTCGGTGTCTTCCCATTGGAAGCAGTTTCTTCTTGGGTGAATATCCTCTCAATACAAAGCTAAAACTTGTAGTTTGGGGTGTTGCTCCCCTAGCCCACTTTCTCTTCCCTGCAACATCTGGATAAAGGTGAAAATTTGTAAATCACCATGACACTATGCTGGGGTAAGAGGGAGGTTATCCAGGTGGCCCACCATCCTCTAGATTCTTGCTGACCTTCACGGAGACTCCCTTTTCCTGCCGACTTACTACATATCTTACATTTCTGGGTGTTTATAATCAAGCCAGATCTACTTGGGATAGATTGTCAGTCAGATATATCTGTAATAAAGTATCAGGTAAATCACTTATTAGTTGCAGGTTTTGCACTGATTTTGCCTTCTTCCCTAGTTTCTAGGGTGAAAAGAAAGTTAGAAGCCAGTTGGCTCATAGAAGTTTCCCTTCCCACTAAAGCCATCTAAGCAGTAGCTTCAACTGGTGACAAACTCTCGTGCATTGAACATATAGTACCACTTCTTCAGAAAGTCCCATGACAGTGCACAAGCTTCTTAGAATTATTTTCCTCAGCAGAGTCTCCATCCCTATCCTAAAATGTAGGCATTATATTGTTTAAAAATTCTTTCTGTCAAGTATATCATTCCTCAATAATGAAGAGGAGAGAAAGCTAAGAGGAGACATAGATTGAGATAAACGTGTCCCCAATTCCACAGGCCTAGGCCAAAAGGCAGTATTATTAGATGAAAAAATACTTTTAGAATAAGAAGAAACAATAAGTAATCTAAGATATTCATTAAAGGACTTTGCCTGGCTCATTCCACCGGCAGGGATTGACTTCAATGTGCTTATCTTCTAAGTAAGCAAAATGAGGTCCAGTCATTTAATAATATACTCACTTTCTCTTTGCCTCATGGCTTTTCCATGGGTTTAGCCAGATTCTTTTTATGGCAACCAGTAATGAGCGAGCCATACAATAGACACCTAGAGCATAAACATCAGTCAATGTTCTTCACTGTTTTTCAGAGCTCAGAATGGGGGTGTCTGCTGAGGGCCAGCTAAGTAACTATAACTTTAAAATACCTAAGAGAAAGCAAGGAATATTACAGGACACAACGGGGGCCATGTTCCCTGCATGTAAAAATGATTTTTTTTTTTTTAATTAGCCAAACTCTGGATGGTTTAGCTGCTGCCACACATTGCTGATCTCTGAGGGCACGTTCTGCTTCAGTGTTGCAGCCACCAGGGGCTTTTGAAATGACCAGTTCTAGCAGCAAGGGACAGAATGTGCTTGAAGGAACCCAACCCCACTATGAGACACAACTACAATATCTACAATATTGACAGAAAGCCCTGTCCTAGTTTGTGGTGGCTTCACCCTGTTCTTATTATTTAGATGAAGTTTCCAAATGCAATACAGAACCTGTCAACCAAGTTTTTTGAAAGGGGGACTCTTCCATAGTGATGAATTATTATTGTTTTCTGTATACAACACTAATAATCTCCCACTCAATAAATCAATTGCTGATCGTCTATTTCAAGGAATTAATTCAGATACAAAAAATTTTATCCCATGATTATTAATAATCTAATACTAAAATATTTAAAAGAAAAATGAATACTTAAGTAAACAATGATAGGAAGCAACAATTAAAGGAAGCAAGGAAGATCACGCAACAATATTAGAAGTTTTTGTAACTTAAATAAAAGTAGGCTCAGAAGATGTTTATTGAATATAATTACAAATAGAAAAAAAACATGTATGCAGCAGAAACATGACAGGGTATAAATAAAACAACAAAAGCTGTAATGTCAGGAGTGAAACAAAATTTGGGCTTTTAAATTTTTAGTTTGTCAAAATTTTCTAAAATATATAATAAAATGCTGGAAGGAGGAGAGAAAAATTGAGACAGGAAAGTGACAGGAAGTTTAACTGAAACACAGAGGCTCAGTTTAGAACAACTGAGAAAAAACATGAGAACCCAGGAGTGCACAAAGAGCTAAGCATGGGATTTCTGGGCACATGAGGGCAGCAGCTGGATTGAGGCTGTAAGTGAGAAGCCAGCAATGCTGAGAGGACCTCAAAAACCTGGGATCCTGACAGAGTATTGTTTGGCCTTAAAATGTGATGATTATCAGTGAAGAACACTGGAGATTGTTAGGGGGGAAGACGTTGATTTTAATCCTTTCAACACATTTCTGTGAGAATCAAGTTGTGGGTTGTTGTTTTTTTTAATAGAGAGAGAAGAGAGAGAATTTTTTAAAAATATTTATTTTTCAGTTTTCGGTGGACCAACATCTTTATTTTATTTTATATGGTACTGAGGATCGAATGCAGCGCCCCACGCATGCCAGGCAAGCACGTTACCACTTGAGCCACATCCCCAGCCCAAGTTGTGGGTTTTAATTTCATGTATTATTGACAGGATATACATCCACATTTCACTAATTGTAGGAAGTTTTTCCTTGTAATATGTACCAAGTAGGAAGTTGAAGAGATGTATCAAAAGATATCTGAGAGCCAGGAAGGAAAAACAAAAAAAAAGAGAGAGAGAGAGACAAATTTCATGGTAACCAAAGTTGAAAATTTTGGGCGGATACAGGAATAAATGCCAATGTAGTGCCGTGAAATATCTATTCCCAGCTTACAAAAGTAGAACTGAATCTGCCAGTCCTTGAAGGTCTTCCTATTATGTTCAGAGGAACATAAAAGCAAAAATCATTACTATAGCAATATGGACAACTGACCCAGTTCTACCCAAAAGTGAAAAATCTAAACCAAGCATAGAATAAGGAAGCCATGACCAGAAACTGCAATAAAATCCTTCACCACAGTCATGAATTTTAGTTTTATATTTATTGAGTTTTCAGAGATGACAGAGGCCTACCTACAATCGAAGGCACAGTTCCATCATAAAAACAACATTAAAAGTTCCAAGTCACAATACAAAGCTAAGCAAATTAGAACGTTCACAGAGCTAAGTGTGCTCTTGGGAGTAAGTCCTGAAGCTGTTGCTTTACCCTAAGAACACTAAGCGCTGAGGCAATCTTGAGATTTTCAGAAAGAGAACATGGTATCAAGCCCAGATGACAAAAAACAGAAATAAGAAGGCCTCTGGAAGCTGGTAAACTAAACCTTTACCTAGGGGTAGACACAGATATCCACTCACACAATATCTACCTTAACATTAGGTGCTTACAGGAGAGAAACACATGGAATTATGATCCATAAATGCTGAAGGAGGAGGAAGGAGAGAGAGATGGCCATGTCAGCTGATTGCCTTCCACTCTCTGTGAAAGTGCAGGATGTTCTTGATTTCCACACCTGCTTCGGTTGCTGTCCCCAGCACCAGCTGCAGGGGGTACGAGAAATTCCTCGGGTTGTCCAAACAGATGCCAGTGATGATAGTCACCATGCTGCTAGGATCAGGTGTCCCTGGCCTGGATGAATCCAGCAGACTTTTGCAGAAGTCGAGAATATTAAAGAGGTCCCAGGCATCAGAATCTGGCCTGATCATCCTGGGCCTCAACAACCTCTCAGACACAAAGAACTGGCACAGAATGTTCTGGTTCCCTCTCTTCAGTTCACCTTCTAGGAAGGTGATGGCTGCCAAGACCTTTCGATCTTCCCTTCTCAGGACATACAGTGTGTCAACCACAATTTTTGGTATGATGAGGAAAAACTTACCACTTGTGGCAAGCTGCTGGATAACTGGAAGATGCTCACACAGGGCCCTCGGATCAGGAAACAGGTAAGAGGTCAAAGCTGACCGAGTCTGGGGACCCCTGAGGGTCTTCTCTAGCAACACCACTTCACGCTGAAGCCAGAGCTGGACTATGTCTTTGGAAAACCTGATCCTGGAAGTTCTCTCAGGAAGCTGCAGAGATGGATTTTCTAGTCCTCCAGGTGTACTGCTCACAAACACACCCAACTTAGAGTCAAACCTCAGGAACTGTTCTGGGAGTCTGGTTGCAAAGTGGCCAAAACTTCTCAGGAAACAGATGCGCAGGGCAGCTTCATCCTGGTTACTGAGTGGAGGTGGGTCCTTCTCTAATCCCACTGTCTCCAGGGAAGCCTGCATTGGACAGAGCTGGAACAGGGCAATGTCCTCAGGGAGATGCAGGAATCTGGAGGTGTGTGGGCCTGTACGGCTCTGCAGCAAATCATGGAGATGGTGGGACAGGCCCAGGTCTGGTTGCTGAAGGTCACCCACCGAGGGCAGCAGGTTCAGCAGCACACACAGGTGGTCCCACAGGCTAAGAGAACTCCGCCAATGGGAGGTGAGGAGGGCATGGTTGGTGCAGAGCCAGCCCAGGATCACCTTGATGGTGGGAAGCAGTCCCTCTGCAGAGAGAACCTTAAATTTCCTTTGAATGGTCTGGAGACTTGTGTAAGACTGGTCAAGGGAGGCACTCTGCCCCACATACGAACCAGTGTGCCACTCAGTCTCAGGAAAGCTGCTCATATCCTCCTCAAAGCCAGAGCTACTGCCAGAGGCAGGGCTTAGCTCAGACTGAAGCTTCAGGGCACTGCGACTAAAGGCAGGGGCCAGGTGCAAGCCAGGTCCTCCTGGCAGCTTTTGGCTCAATGGAGCTGGCAGCTTAGCAGGCATAGTTGTTTTCAAGAGACAGAGGAGACTACTGGGAGTTTCATCCCTGGGACTGGCAGTCTTGTATTTGGATATGGTCTCGCTTTCCTGCACTGCTTCTGAGTGCAGGGATCCATTCCCTCCTTCATCAGCTATATCCAAATGAGAAGTTTCACTGTCTGTTTCAGAGTGGACCTGTGAACTCAAGGAGGTGCTTTCCTCATCTTCTGTCTCATCAGAATCACAGCAGGAATGAAAACCAGCCTCGGAGCTGTAACCCTCACTACAAACACAGGACCACCGATGGCTTTTCTGGGATCTTCTGTGGTGGGGCCTCAGGGTTGGAAAGTCTTGTTGACCCTTCCCAGGCTCTTTTTCCTGGTTTCCAGCCCTGGGGGCAGCCAGGTCTGGAGTCAGCTTCCCTTTCTGGAGTTCAGCTTGGATCCGTGCATTCACATGTTGAATTAGATGAGAGAAGAGGGTCAGGGTGAAGATGACAGCTGGCTTATGCTGCTTTGAGCCTGTTTTCCTCAGACCATGCACATTCATGAGGCAAAGTACCACCATTTGGAAGATGAGGAGGTCTGGGAGAAACAGATAGCCTTTGGGGGGCTTTCCCTGTGTGGAAACCTGGCACGGGTTAGGTGGACTCAGCCGATAAGACAGACAGAGACGAAAGTCTTCCAGAACCAGCTGGCACAGGGCTATCAACCTGGCCACTCTGAATTTCTTCTGAGGCTGCAGGAGGCTCTGAAGATAGAGGAAGCTAACCAGCAGCCTCTTGTTATCCCAACACTGCCTCTGGCTTCGAGATAGTTTCTTTCCCTGGTACCTCTTCAGACTGCTGTACCTCTTCCCTGCATGATCATAGAGCTGTTTGAGGTTCCAAGCTGCCCCTTTAAAAGGTACTTCTGAGTGGAGACAGCACTGATAGAAGTATGTGGCTTCAACATTATAGTACTTGCTCCCCATGAGAGCTCCCAGCTGGTTGAAGGGCATTCCCATACGCGGGGCCACTGACAGGGCTCTGTAATAGCATCTCTCTGCCAAGTCCTTAGTGGCCAGGTCTAGGAACTCATTCTGATATCGGAACAAGTCTCCCAAATAGAGCAGGCAGCGATGGCAGGCCATTCGAGCCCAGGTGACCTCTTCCTCTGATGTGGGCCCTACCTTCTTACAGCCAATCAAGTGGATTGCACTGTGAGGCCAATCTATACAGCTCTGTAACCTCAGTTCATAGTGACCCTGGAGGAACAGGAAGAGATGCTCATAGAATTTAAGGCCACCTTTCAGGTGAGCTTGCAAGGGGCCTTCCCAGTGTTTAAAAGTGTGCGTGTGTTTTCTGTTGTCCTTCATTAGCAGCATGACAACATCAGAGTACATTTTCCTCCATAACAGCTCTTCTGCCTTCCTCCCATAAGCCACTGGGTATAAGAACATGAGTTTAATGCAAGCTTGCTGAACTATATCTCTGAGGGCCAGGATGTGCGGTTTGAATACCTCTTTGTGGGCATTTCTCTTTTGAAGGAAAAGGTCAAGTTGCTGAGCTGCCAAGCACACCTCCTGGTAGAGGAGTTTGGCCTTCGGGGCTTCTGTCTGGCTTCTCTCCATGGGGCTGGACTCTTCCAATGATACTGATGTATGCCTTCTGAGAAAAGACAAAAACTCTCTATTAGTGCTCACCCACAAAGACCAAAAATAATAACAAAGAGGACAACAGAGTGCATATACATATGCCTATCTTTTAGATGCAGCAGGAAAACTCTGATCATCCTTCAGATCTCTATTTAAGCCTAATTTCTTCTAGGAAGCCAATTTTAATTCCCCAAGTTAGAATAAATGCCTCCCTTCACACTTCATTTGGCCTCCTTTGGTATTCTGAGACAACACCTTGGAAATTTCTCTTCATTTTGTTTCTCTTATGATAGTGTACTTATTATAATTACCCATTATTCTTTCTCCCAGACCAGAAGGCAAAGTTTCTTCCTGGCATGGTCTGAGCCATGTCACAATTGTGTCAAAGTTTCTAAAAATGCATGGTTCAAGTAGATGCCCAGTAAATAATAGGAATTTGATAAAAGGTATTCCAAATGTCCAGTTCCTTAGATATAGTTTTCAATTCCATGGTCCAAAAGACCTCCATTGTGCTACTTAAGATACTTATCTAAAAGTGAAATAAAATTTTATGCCATTTCTACTGACTGATACAAAATGAAAAATAAACTCTCAAAACAAAATTTAAATGTAATCAAGGGTATGAGTTCCTTAAAAAATTTAATCTAGAATATAGTTAATATATCAAAATAATGTTTTAATGCAAAAAAATACATAAAATCCCAGCTGGGCATGGGGCTGCATCCCTGTAATCCCAGCAGTTTGGGAGCCTGGGGCAGGAGCATAGCAAGTTCAAGACCAGCCTCAGCAACTTAGCAAGGCCCTAAGCAACTTAGTAAGACTCTAAAATAATTTTTAAAAAGGTGGGGGTGGGTTCTGGGTATGTGACTAAGTGGTTAAACATCCCTGGATTCAATACCCAGTACCAAATTTGGTATTGGGTAATTTATTTATATTTATAAAATCCCTTCCTCCTAAGTGGAATTTGCTTTAACTTTCAGGATGGATGGAGAAGAGAAGTACACACTTTATAATGTAAGTAGAATCCATACAAAAGAAAACACAACGAGTAAGCACATATTAAAAGAAAAGCAAATTAATGGGATTATGGGTAATTCAGTGGTAGAACATATGCTTAGCAAGCAGTAGACCCTGAGTTTAATACCCAGCTCAAAAAAACAAAACAAACAAAAAAAATAGACACAAAAAACAAGTCAAACCAACCTTGAAGTAACAATTTAATCATCAAAGTATTAAAATATCTTTAAATTAGAATAGCCAATGCTCAAAGCCTTTGTAAAACTTTCATAAACTTGCACAGTTGGCAGCATTAAAAGTTTAACATTTTTTCTTTCATTTAAAAAGACATTTATGTTCTCTGACCCAGCAACCCTATTCACAGGAATGATTTCTAAGGAAATACACTTAATAAAAGCCAAACCTACATGAATAAGAGGTCCATTCCAAACGTATTTCTAATAAAAGAAAGGAAGAACAAAAAAAAAAGTAAGGAAATGGAAATTAACCTATCTTATGATGAATTAATTGATCTTATGCCTGTATATATAATAAAAAAATCATTAAATCCATAAGTGTAATAATTACATAAACTTATAGAAATAACAATTACTTTAAAAAGAATAGAATAAAAACAATATATCCACTGAAAAATCATATATTCAAAAAATAACAATAACATAAAAAATTAAAATACCTATAAGATGGTGTGAGGGGGAAGGGAAAAAAGAGAGAGAGAAAAGTATCACAGTAGATTGGGTAGAGAGAAGTGATGGGAGGGGAAGGGAGGGGAGGAGTGGATAAGGAGGGCAGCAGAATACAGCTGACACTAGTATTGCTGTATGTATATACATGGCTATATAACCAATGTGATTCTGCAATCTGTACACGTGGAAAAATGAGAATTCATACCCTATTTGAATCAAATGTATGATATGTCAAGATCATTGTATTGTCTTGAGCAACTAATAAAAATAATTAAAAGACATTGCTGGGATAACAGCTGCTTTTTTCTGGAAGGTCCTTTATAGTGCAGTCTTTCTAATACAACTTCTTGGCTATTATAATTTATAAGTCTATATCATTGACATGAAAGGAAAAATTGTAACTAGGCATATATTATAAAGTTTTGATTCAAGAACTAGAATACATAATCTTGAATGTCAAATAAACAAGACTCTTGAATACATGCAGTACCTATATAGTATTAATAGAGCTAGGGCAGTAGAGAGTACCTGTGATCTGTGACTAGATATGCAAACTTGAGAAGAAAGAGAGATGTGGAAGAATAAGAGAAAAGAATTGGGGCCTGAGAACAAGGAAAGCATCCAGAACACAGAAATTGAACCAACAGTGGAAAGCCTTTGAAAGCTCCAAAAATACACAGAGGACTTCCCTGGATGGTAAATAAATGTTTTTTTCTGGAGTTTGTCAGTTCTGAGGAAAAGGAAAAGCTACTAAATAGATATCTGCAGAAGATAGACCTAGGATAGATTAAAACCACACACAAGCACACAATTTTTCTAAAAGACAATTTAGTTTCCTTTCAAGCCTAAGAGTCTGATGCTAGACGTTACAAAATAGAGAAAAAACATTGAGCTGGACAGGGTGGTGCATGCTTGTAATCCCATCAGCTCTGGAGGCTGAGACAGGAGGATCATGAGTTCAAAGCCAGCCTTGGCAAAGGCAGGGCACTAAGCAACTCAGTGAGACCCTGTCTCTAAATAAAATACAAAATAGGGCTGGGGTGTGGTTGAGTACCCCCCTGGTACCCCTCAAAAAAATTTAAACCCCCAAATCTATTACAATATTTGAGGAGAGATGGATTCCATCTGAAAGCCAGAGAGGAATAAGAAGTGACTGAATCATTTCTGAGACTCTTCTCCCTTCCCTGCTTCTCTAACTACACTATTGACTCCAGGTGACTATGTTCTTCTGCAGCCCTTTCTAGGCAGCTGTGTAAAACCTGTTTGCCAAGATCAAAGGCATGGATGCACCCAGGTTCAAACTGGGTCGGTAAGAAGCATGGGGCCTCCCTCCCTCACCCCATCCCCATCGCCATCTCTAATCCAGGGATCGGATATTACAACAACTTTGTAATCTCATAAACCTGAACTGGGATGAAACATGAATATAAATACACTCAGGTTACAGCAAATGTATGGACACAAATATGCTATAAAGAAAACCAGTTCGAAGATGCCTTCAAGACATTAAGTCTGTGAGAACCACAAAGAAGCCTTAGATAAAACAATTCACTCATAAATGACAAAATGAAGAAAAGTTTTCTAAATATAATCTTACTTCTCATTTAATTTGGGATATCATCCTCCATTGAACATGTCCAGAGGAAGTAGAAAATTGCTTAGCTTGAATTTAATTGCTTAGTTTAAAAAGAAAAATCAAAAGATATTTATGAATATTTATTATTTCTCTACTAACTTCTCAAACAACAAAAAACCATGGATTTGGGTCTCTGCACTCGATGATCTCCTAGTCTACGTGGCATATGAAATATCTAGTATTCTACACATTGAGGCATAAATCTATGAAGTTAAAATATAATTTATTCACAAATATTTCCAAACTGAGCAATTACTGAGAATGGCCGATTCTCTCTGAACAGACATAAATATGACCTGGCACCCTTCCCCATTTCACTCTAATACTAATGATTAGTTCCACTAACTTCCAGGATCTAAATTAGTGGATCTAACATCCAGGACCTCTTTCCTCTTTTGCAGGCATTAGGATAAACTTCCAGCCGCCTTGCTGATACAAGGCAACTCTGAACAGTTGTCCCTCGTGAAGCCACAGAACAATCACAAGCAACTCTCTGAAGCTTGATGTTCCCTGACAAAGCCTCTGAAAGCCCAGAATCTTGATTATAAAAGGAGTAAAATTAAACCCCTTTATTGAAATGAATCCAAAGAAGATTCTTTATACCCCACCTTTAAACTCACCAATAAGCTGCCCCAGAGTTTGTTGCTGCTCAGCCTCTGGCTCCCCAGCTTTGAATCCCACTCTCAAAGCCTCTATTACTTTATCTAGGCACCTGGACTGACTCTGCATAATTGGCATCGGCTGCATTCATTGTGCCCTAGAAGGCTGACTAGGGCTGCTGAGGAAGCCTGGTAATTCAGGACTAGAATATGATTCAGACAATAGAGACATAGGAGGAATTAGAAAGAGCAGAAACTGAGATAAATTAGAAAAGTAAATCACAGAAACGAGAAAATTAAAACCATCTTGCTGTGCAAGAAATATACATATTTTGCATTTCCTTGAGAATTAGAGCTAACTCTTGCCTTGTGACTAAAATGAGAAAAAACAGGAATTCCCTATAATGGTCCCTGTCACTAAGGATGAAACCCTGAAGGATGAGAATTTCCCATAAATTCAAATGGGTCCTCCATTCTCCCAGTGCAAGATCTTCCCTAAGTGTTCTTACCCTTGAAAGGACTAGCTAGTTGCAGTACCCACAGTACTTTCAGTCTCAAATATATTTTGCAGCTGCTTCTCAGTGCATTGATTACTATTCCTGAACCATAACAAAAAACAGTGTACTCAAGGTTAGCCCTTTATAGCTTAAGTCTAGAGAAGAGATTGTAAGAGTATATATAAAGATCCCATTATACAAAGAACTGGATTTCAATGGGCTTAGAAATCACCGGAACTTCTTAAAATGAAAATTTGTATTAAGGGAGTTTGGGATGGGGTCTGAGATTTTTATTTCTGAGTCCATGGAATGCCAGTGATGCTGGTCTGCTGAGCACTCTCTAAAGGGAAAATTTAAAGAACAAAGTAGCTGTTTGCAGGACACCAATATTTACCTCAGAGTCAGTAGACAGTATAGAATGAACTATAACCATGACAACTCCTCCTCTAAATGTTATGTCAGACTTAATTCTTAATTTCCAAGGCCAGCCTTCAAAGTATTAGAGCCCTCCCCCAAGTGAACAAACACAACTAAGATGGAATTAAAATACATAATAAGTATC